AAACTTTGTCTAATTAGCTGCCCCTTCAGGCTTAGATTCTTGGATTAGGGAATGGGGCAAACAAGTGGCAATGTGTTCATCATGCCCTTCAAAATCCCCCAGGGCTCGGGCAAAGCCCCTCCGTAAATTCAGTCCATGCTAAAGAATCCACAGCGTCCAAATCTCTCATTATTGGCATCATCTTTCTAGACATGGGAACATACGGGAAGAAACTACTTGATTATCTTTCATTGGACTAACTTTCGTTGGTGAAAGAGACGCGCTTTCTGTATCGTAGTCTCTATGCTGCTAACTGTTGAGGGAGATTCTCTATGCACAAGTGCTAGAGAATTGTCAAGTTCTGTCTTGCTGGTTTTTGCTGGAGGACTCCTTGGAGGTCTTGGGGATCAAGGCTGCGGGCCTGATTCTCCTCTTGCTTACCCTGGTGTGACTTCATTTCTCATGATGGATGTGTGGCGAGAGGAGAATCCAGCCTTGGGAGCCTTCTCAGCCCTAATCTCTTCCCCTCAGTGCGGTGGCAACAGACAGGGAGTTTTATTAATACTCTTCCCTTCTCAATTAGGGCCTGATCCAAAGCCCACTGAAGACTCCCATGGGCTTGGGTCCTTTACTTGCATGGCAACCCTTCCAACTACTCCATAACAAGTCACTTCACCCCCTGTGCCTCGGTTTCCCCATCTGTACAATGAGGCTAATGATGCTAACCTCCTTTGTAAAGTGCTGTGAGATATTATGAAAGGCACATTCTCCAGCAGTGCCTCTGAAAGAACAAACCCGGCTGGCCAGTAGTGAAATGTTCCAGACGTGGCTGTTTTGGGATAGTGCAGACGGCTGGAAAGGCAGCAGGCCTTCGGTCCCAGGTGCTGCTCGGCGGCTGGTTTCCTCTGGCTGGGACCAGCACTTATTGCAAGGGGGTTGGTTGATTGATGGGAAGGGGAGGAGGGTCAGGGGCTCCTTGCTTGTGTGGTATGAGCACAGAAACTCCTCCAGCCTCTGGCAGGCAGGGGGACTTATCCACCTGTTCTGGGTCCTGCCAATGTCAGGCAATGGGTTAAGGAGAGCAGGGAAGGGACAGACTCATTTGTTCAGCTGCGTTCAGATACCCCCTTCACCCAAACCTGTTCGGACTGAAGGTCAGGTTCTGCCCACCCCAAGCTCTCATCTTGTCTTTTTGGAGGGCTGGGGGGATTCTAGGCCTCAGCAGATGGCTGGACGTGGGGCCCAAAAGAACCCCCCCACTTTCCAACCCCCCTGGATCCAGCTCAGAGCCTTGTGCGTCTCCAACTAAAGCACCAGCCTCCTACCTCGAACCCCATCAAGGCCTTAGCTGGTTTACCAGCGTCTTTCCGTGCAGTGGTTTCTGCTGCCAGCCGCCCTCAATGCTACTCCTGCAGAATAGCGGGGTGGGGTGGGGTGGGGTGGGGGGCTCTTGTGTTTCAATGCACCTTCTAGTTTTTAAACAAAAACTGTTTTATTTTTTTTGACTGAATAAACATTTTTAGTGAAATGTTTTCATTTTGGTAACCATTTTACAGCATTTGGGTGAAAAATTCAAAACTGAATGTGGAATTTCTTTCTGTTTAGGTTTTTATGTCAAAATACCAGTTTTTCTGAAACCCAAACGTTTGTACAGAAAATTGAAATGTTTTCAGGGGGGTTTTAAAACTGAAAAATGTGCATGGGCCAGTTAAGAAAACAATGGACTTTTTTGGTGTTTTGGCAAAATAATTTGCATTTCCTGCCCTGCTTTTTTATTTCTCACCCTTCAGTGGTCTCGCCTTGGTCAGCCCTTCAGGCTGGGTTGGGTGGGTGAAGGACACCCCAGCTGAGAGGATTTGTTCGGACTCTCCGTCTGTCTATGTATCTACCTCGAGTACCTATACAGGGAAAAGAAATCTGAGAGTAGCTAGAGGACTCTTCAGTCTAGCAGACAAAGGTGTAACAAATCCAGTGGCTGGAAGTTGAAGCTAGAGAAATTCAGGCGAGAATGAGGGGCACGTTTTTAACACCGAGATTAATTCACCAGTGGAACAATTTACCGTGTGTTGTGGTGGATTCTCCATCCCCGGAGTTTTTTAAAATCAAGCTGGGATGTTTTTCTAAAGAGCTGCCTTCGTTCAAACAGGAATTAATTCAGGGGCATCCTGTACCCTGTTCTACAGGAGGTCCGACTCGCTGTTCACGATAATCCCTTATAATCGGTGGAGCGAGGTATGGTACTTAGCATGGTGATGGGGGCCAGTTATCTGACCACCTCACAATGTGTAATGTATTTATCTGCACAACCCCTCACTAATCTGGCACTAGAAACTCCTGGGTTTGGATTCCAAAGTCACAGGTTCAACCCCCGTGCTGCCAACCCACCCAATGGCATCAGCTTACACTAAGGCCATGAGAGTCCATTGCTGTCAACCCAAAGGGCATGTCTATGCAGTTTCCTCCTCTGGAAACCCAAAGAGACCTCAGCAGAGAGCTCCTTTAGGGGCCAATCCATGGCAGAATGGATGTAGGGTATAGATGGGGAATCTCAGTGCCTGCTTTTAAATCCAGCAACAGCTGAGCAAGAGAAGGGGGGAAAGGTGGGGGCACAGAGAGCTCGTCAATCTCTTTCCTCCCTAGAAGGAATTTCCGCCACCCCCCGATTCTCGGAAACATAGAATGAAAGGGGACACAATTTCGCCTTAGCCGTAAGAGCCCAGCACAGGGATAGCACTTTCAAAGACATCACCCAGCGTTCCCAGACAGACATCTCTGTTTGACTGAGCAGAATGGGTTGATTTCAAGGGGATTAAAAAGGGAAAGATCATAGGGGTTTTAAAAAACCCTTCTTTACAGATCAATGTGAATCCTGGTATCAGTAATGCCATCAAATCAGCGGGATTGCTAACATGTCTTGGCACTTATTTCTGCTGTTTGTTTCCTCCCGGTGTTTCTCTCATCAAGAATCTAAATAGCCGTGTGTGTCTCGTTCACGTTTGCAGTGTGGCCAACTCCTGAGATATCAGCTGCGCTGCTCAAAGCCCCAGCTTCTGGTCATGTGATTAGAGGAAAACCTTTGCTTTCATTTTTAAAATATGTAAATTTCTAGTGCTCCGGGTTGCAGGAGAAAGCTTGAAGCTATGACCCTAGTAGTGCATGCTGAAGGCTAGGAAACCAGACAAAATTTAAAAAAATCCTTTTTTTATTATATATTTTTAATTTCATGATTTTTAAATCAGTGTAATGATTTTGTGGATGCTTGGGATTGACACCCGGACTCCTGGTGCTTTTCACTTGTAGGGGCTCATGCACTTTCACACTGCTGCAATGATTAGATTGCAAACACTGTCTGGGTGCCCAGCAACTGTACCTAACTGGCAGGAATCCTCCCAGCCCGTCAGGCCTGCGGCATTAGAAAATAGGCCACGAGGTTAGTAACTAATCATTCTGAGGAATTGGGCAAATCTGGAGGTTTATTACTGACACAATCTTGTTTTCTGAACTTCACAGTGCCATGCAGCTGCCATTTTATATTCAATGCACATGCTGCCTGCTAAGGAGGAGAAAAACACCCTGTGCTCTCCCCAGTGGTGATCTTGCTTGAGGCCTCTCGTGTTTTGCTCCCCTCCCACCTTAAATGCAGGCGGTTCTGGGTGAGAGAAAACAGAGCAGGGCGGTCTCTCCAGGATGGGTTTGGTCACTTACTAAACATCACCCACATCTGTTTGTCCCTGTTAAACGCTGGAGGGGCATGGCTGTTGTGTCACTTCCTGTGACACGTTGGCTGAGTGTGTTTTGTCTCCCTCTAGTGGCTGGGTCCACATCCAGCCAAAGTGTCCAACCTGTGGCCCTTGTGAGTTGAAGTGTGCTCCCTGAGCCATGGTCTGTGGTGCTTTTTTTTTTTTAAGCCGCAGGGTTTAAATAAGCCCTGTTGCTCCAGGGAGACAGAAGGGGGTGCTACCCATCCCCAGCCATCTCCCACTGCTGCCCCTGTAGCAGCTGCAGTGTGAGCTGGGAATGCAGTTTCTCAGTACTGCCCCCGCTGGTGGCCTGCAGCATTGCAGGGGAAGGAGGTGAGAGTGGTTCTTTCTGCCCTGCTGCTGGGCTGTGGGAGCCCAAGGGAGTGTAGGAGAGGAGGGTTACTGGCTCTGCCTGAGACAAGGGATGCTCCTTGCACATGATACCTCCTGTCTCCCACACAGGCCATCACAAGAGAGGTGAGGAAACGAGGCTTTGCCCCAATTCTGGTTTGAGCAGCCTTGGGGTTGCTCTGCCTTTCACCAAATGGCAACAGCCTCCTAGGGATCACATGCCAGCTGGAGACAGCCAGAAACCAGCCACTCTCCCTAACACTGCAGGACTTCCAAAGAGGGAGGTAGAGGAGCCAGCTATGCTGGCTCTGAGCCAATGGGGACTGTCTTACATTGGGGTATGGGGGGAAATCAGACTTTCCTTCCCTTTGCCCCACCTGAGCAGCACAAAAGGTGCAGATCAGGACACAAGAATTACCCCCCAAATTATAAACTCTAGCCCTTGACCTTGTTTGTCACAATATGTTCAGCCTTCAGGCTGCAAAAGTGAGAAACCACTGACTTAAAGAATAAAAACCTACTACTGCCCTGATAGCTAATGGAGCTATTCCCTTAACTCAGATGGCAGGGGCCTGTGCTTTGGTACAAAATTTTCTGGATTCAAACTCCTACGGAAAAGAGTTGTTACATTCCCACAGCAGAGAGGGAGGATGGTCCAGGGGTTAGGGTATCAGCTAGCGACCTGAGTTCCATTTCTTGCTCTGCCACAGACTTTCTGGATGACCTGGGGCAAGTCATTTATCTCTCTGTGCCTCAGATTTCCATGTGTACAATGGGGTAACAGCCCTGCCCTGCTTCACAGGGCGGTTATGAGGCGCTCAGGTTCTCCAAGGAGTAGAGGCGAGATAAAATCCCAAGATGGTGACACCGGGGCAGCCTCACTTAAAATGGTCGTGCAGCTCTGTCTGGAAACAAACGAGGGACGCAGCCTTATAGAAATACAGGTGGTTTTTTTTACATGCAAAAAGTTAAATAGTGGACACTATTAGAAAAGCCAGCATGTTAAGGCATGCTGAATTCTGGCTACAACATCCAATACTCATGCCTCAGACTAACCTCACGTTACACAAAACCTTCCCCGACAACTGCAGCCGGCAGCGTAGGCAATGAAGTGAAAGAGGTAGTAGCTCCAGAGAGATTGACCCGGCCTGCTCTCCGCCCCCGTGCTAAGAGGTCCAGGCTGGTAAGACAGTGATGCTAAACCAACAGGCATGAGGGACCTCCCCAGAAGGCATGGGCTGTGCAACCGCTAGGCGAGGAATTCCAATGGTCTTTTACACCAGCTCAAGCTTTCATCAAGGTAAGGATCAGCCCACTGCGGCAGGCCAGATCAGACCAACCCAGTGGCTGATCTAGTTTGGTAGTGGGTCTCCTGGCTATGCCAAAACAGAGCTACCGTCCATCCAGTCCTAGGAGCTCACCTCAGAAATCGATGGCGGGATGGGACCTGGAGCCCAGCCCCCTGCTCTGAGGCAGGACCAAGTAAACCTAGCTCACCCCTGAGTGGTGTTTGTCCAACCTGTCTTTAAAAGCCTCCCTTGGAAGCCTATTCCAGCGCTTAACTGTCCTTAGCGTTCGAAAGTCTTTCCTAATATCTAACCTGAATCTCTCTCCCTGCACATTAAGCCCCGTTCTTCTTGTCCTACTGCCAGTGGACACGGAGAACAGTGATCACAGCCTCTTTATAACATATCTGAAGACTGCGATCAGGTCCCCGACTCCCCCCAAGTCTTCTTCAGACTAAACATGCCCCGGTGTTGCAGAAGGTGAGTCAGTTACCCAGCATGGCCTGGTGGTCAGGGAAGTGGAGAAGGAGCTAGGAGACCTGGGTTTATTCCTGACTCAGCCGGGTGACCTTGGGCAAAATCACTTCCTCTCTCCGGGCCTCTTTCCCGTCCTTTGTCGGGCTAGATTGCCAGCTCTTTGGGAGCAGGGTCTGTCTCTCGCTACGTGTCTGGGCAGTGCCTGCCACAACGGGGCCCTGATCTCCGAGCAGGCCTGGAGGGGCTACTGGAACAGATGTTGATAATAATGCACAGCAGTGTGCGGAGGTGTGGGCCTTGGGGGAGATTCCTTCCTGCTAAGAGGCTGGGGACGAACCCCTGCCTGGAAGTTGTAGGCAGGTTGGGAGCCCTAGGTTTAGCCTCCGCCCATGTGCTCCAGCGCTCGAGGCGAGGCGACGTGACGTGACCACAAGTTAGAAACGAACATCGTTGCCAATGTGCTGACTGTTAAAACCAGCATCCCACGCTTAAAATAAGGCCCTGGATAAAACTCCAGAGCTCCCGTCCCTCCCCCGCCCCTCCCCCCCCATGTGGTGCCCTGCCAGCCTAGGCCGCCATGACGTTCTGGATGCCCAACTGCTCCTTGAGGCGCTGCAGCTGGGCCAACGTGATGTTGTTGCCCCCGCACACGATGATCACCAGGGAGCCCAGGGCACGGCCCAGTTTCCCCTCCGCCTGCAGCCTCTGCACCACGCCGCTGTAGACGGCAGCCAGCGCCGCCCCGCAGGCCGGCTCCACCAGGATCTTCTCATCGTCTGCACGGGGGGGAGAGGGAGGAGAGATGAGGGAGGGGGTAGCTGGTGCTCCGAGCGGCCTTGGGGTCACTGGCCCATCCCAGGGCAGGAGGCCTCAGCTAGCAGGAGTGGGGGGTGACATGGAGCTGGCTGCCCCGGGTGGTGAGCTGCTGGCCCATGAACAGGGAGGGGGCTCACCAGCTTCAAGGCGCCGACGGAGGGGGTGGGGGGAAGTTGGCCTTGATCCATGACAGCTCTCGGGGGAAGGGCCAGTGGAGAGAACAAGCCACAAACGGGCTGGAAAAGCTTGTGGGGGCTCTTCCCCTCCCAAGGGCAAAGCTAGGAGAGAATGACCTGTTTGGCCACGGTCAACGCAGCCACTGCTCTCCCCTGTAGCCAGGGACACGCAGGACCTAACTGACCACCCCCCCGGGGTAATGAGAACAGCAGGGGGCGCTCTCGCTTGCTCTGTCGGATTCCCCTCCTCTGCCCCACAGGCCGTTTCTGAGCGAGGAAGCAGGGAGGGGATAGGGTCAGCGCGTGGAGGGAGGCTTGTTAGCCTGTCAGGGACGCGGGGACAGCTGTGGCTCTAGGGAACACAGCGGGTTGCAGGAGAGGCATTCTCATTGGCAGTCACAGGATGCATTGCCCCTTTAAGAGGCAAGGGGACCAGTTCCTTTGCTGCTTCTCAGTGGGGCCAATTTAGCCCACCTGGTGCTACTTCAGTTGGTGGCATCTGTCCCAGCTGGGTGGGGCCAGGCGTGCTTTCTATAAAGAGGACCCAGGCAAAGGTCTGGGTGGCAGCAGGCAGAAAGAATCTCAGAGGAAAGCCCTGGGGGGGGGTAATTGTTTGGGGTTCAGGTTTAAAAGCCAAGGCCTGGGGAGGACTGTTTAAAAGCTTCATTTGTCAGGGTGAGTGGGAAGGGGAGAATCCAGTGCTCCTGCACATCAGGAAGGGGAGTGGCCTGAGATTTAGGAAGGATCTGGAGAAGCAGTCCCGTGTGACATTTTTGTTAAGAGTATGGTTTGGGCTGGGAGAGGAGCCCTGGCCAGGTTCTTCCGGTGGGTTTTAAAACACCCTGTCACCTGTGGGGGACACTTTTCACAAAGTGATCACTCTAGAGCGGACCCCTCAGCCCTCCTCCTCAAAGGAAACCCGCACAACCCTTTCAGAAGGTGAGCCGGGGAGCTTAAATTCATAACTTTGCTAGATACTAAAAATCATGGACTGAACAGACACTGGATTTATGGCTTATTACAGCAATCTGTAACCCACTAACAACCCCCTTCCCCCCTGCTGCCTTCTCCCCCTTCTTCCCATGCTTGGAGGGGTGTTAATGGGCCACTTTACCTTGAAAGGTCCCCTGAAATAGATGTTAACTACTTATGCTAAACAATCTGTTCCACCCTGTATTTAGCTCTGACACTTGTTCCCCAGACCTGAAGAAGAGCTCTGTCTGTCTGTGTAGCTGGAAAGCTCGTCTCTCTCACCAACAGAAGCTGGTCTAATGGAAGCTATGACCTCATCCATGTTGTCTCTCTAGTCTAGTGGGCTCTATAATGATTTGTGAGACCTGCAGGGATGTGTACCTGCCACTAGGAGGCAGCAGGAGGCCTTGACCTGTTACAGGCACAATCTGGTACTGGGGCAGCACCTGCTTGGGGATGGACAGAAGGGTGAGGAGCCTACAACTTGCAGGGAAATGGGCAGCCATTGTGTGGGGATGACTTGGCAAATGAATGGGACACAGACCATCCCTGCTGTGCTATACGACTAGAACCCCCCCGGCCATGGTCAGCGGGGCTATTTTAAATGTTTCTCTTCACCTCTGGGGAGCAGCAATGCCCTGGAACAAAGGACCCTCCTTTGGTGTGTTGCTGGTCGGGGGGGGGGGGGGAGGGCTGTTACATACCCACAAACTTTTCGATGGCCATGACTGCCTCCTGGTCCGTGACGACCTCTGAGAAGACTGGGTGCTCTCGGGCCAGCTTCAGTGTCTCCGCTCCCACCGTCTTTGCCCCCAGGGTCTTTGCGACGCTGCAGCCAGGAGAGGAGAAGAGGAAAGAGACACCTCAGCTGGTGATGATGGAGTCCCCACAGCATACCCTTGTAAGGTCAGCGCGCTCTATCCCTGCGAGCATGCAGGCAGCCAGGTTTTTTTCAGGCAGGGCCCTGTGGGATCTTGGGGTGGGGCCTCACTGACACCCCCCCCCCCACATTCCCCTTGCCAGAGCAGGGATCCCTGCTTTCATGCTGCATCTCTCTGTACAGGACGGAGTGCCCCAGCTTTAGTGCTGCTACCACATCGGGTAGCACTGAGCAATCCCTTGTCTGAGCATCTTCCCTTGGCCCTTGTCTCTGATTGGACAGACAGCCCTTTCAGTTCTCCCTTGCTGCCATTGGCTGTCCGTGGCATGCGTTACCTGCTGGTGAAGCCTGGTTCCTACCTCTCCCTAGAGACAAAGGAGCTTAATTTTGTAGCTCTGGGCCCAAGTGCTTACCCCCATCTGCAGTGCCCAGAGAACTTTGCCCCCCGGTGGGGCAGCATTGTTGTGCTATGCACAGGAGGGGGCTGGGTGGAGGAGCAAGTCAAACCCAAATAGCATCCAAGACATGTAGGCTGCAGAGTAGAGAACAGGGAGGGGAATCGTGAGGCTGCTGCCTCAAGTGTCTCCTCCATCAGCCCCCAAGCCGTGGTTCTGCCTAGCCCACCCCAAGCCACGGCTCCTCTCCCTTAACATCGGTTCACAGGCCAAGCGCTCCCGTTCGCCCTCCTCCCCTCACTCACCTGGTGATTTCTGGCAGCGTCACCAGCTGCCCAGCAGCCATGGCCGCATTCAGGCTGTGCGCCCCTTTGGTCTCCATGGCAACAATGGGCACATCCTCCCAGCCTGCCTCCCGGAGGCCCTGGACCACTCCGCACAGCATCCCGCCGCCTCCCACAGACAGGGCCAGCGCCCCAGGCTTGGAGTCCAAGTCTTCCTTCAGCTCCTTCACTATGGACGTGTGGCCTTCCCTACAGGGTGTCAAGTATCAGGGGGTAGCCGTGTTAGTCTGTATCTACAAAAACAACAAGGAGTCTGGTGGCACCTTAAAGACTAACAGATTTATTTGGGCATAAGCTTCCGTGAGTAAAAACCTCACTTCTTCGGATGTATAGAGTGAAAGTTTCACTCTATGCATCCGAAGAAGTGAGGTTTTTACTCACGAAAGCTTATGCCCAAATAAATCTGTTAGTCTTTAAGGTGCCACCAGACTCATTGTTGTTTCCCTACAGGGAGATAGCAAGTGGGAGCGGGACCAGGGGAAGGGAAGGCCATGGCTAGAGATGACCCGAGATCAACAGTCCTGACCCCGTTTCTCTAGAAGAGCCTGGAAAATACAGGTCTTGATTCTTCTCGGCGACACCAGTGTCATCCCCCTGAGTTCAGTGGAGTTACTCTTGGTTCACTCCAACATCAGAGAAGCTGGGTCTCCCCCAGTCTGGGATACTTTGGTTTAGCAGCCTGAGATCATTTCAGCTTTGAAAGAGTCACGCGGCTCAGGCTGCGTCTCGCTGCCTATGGGGACGAGTGACACCTCAGAACAGGCCCAGGCGTGAGAACTAGAAGGCCAGGGGTTGTGTGGACAAGCAGGCTGAGGTCCTGCCTCGGTCCAGGGTGGGAGGATCCCTCTAAGTCTTCCCAGCTATAGGACTTTCTAAGGCAGTTGTCCCAGTGGTACTGAGATGCAGCTGTTGTTTTTAGGGCAGGAGTGGGGCGTATCAGTGCCGGGGAAGCCCAGATCTGAACGAACATGGAAATGGGCGTGGATTCCCTTTCTTACGTCCTTTAGCTCCCAACCCAGGTTCAATGCACAGCTATCCAGCCTAGGCTGGTGGCAGCGGCTTCTGTGGGTGCGCTGACTTTAGAGATTCACCATGTGGTGCATGGGCCACAACAGTGGGTGGTCAATAGACGTGCACTCTCTCTCCATGCTGGATCCCATGCCTGGTGCACCAAGAGATGGTGGCCACACCAATGCAGTCCAACCAGAGGGTGAAAGCTGATGCCCAGATAAATTTGTTAGTCTCTAAGGTGCCACAAGGACTCCTTGTTCTTTTTGCTGATACAGACTAACAAGGCTACCGCTCTGAACTCTGCTTAGATAGTCCACCCCCTTGTGTGCAACACAGAATGACCTTATTGGGGCTGCATTCAGCCGGATTTAATCTCGGCCCACGGTGACTCAGGCTAGCAGGGATGTTAATAGGCAGCAATGGCTAAAACGAAGCCTTCCAGCCTCTGGTGTCCACCCCTCCCTCAGGCCACGTACCAGATGAGGGGATCATCGAAAGGGGGCACATAGACCCAGCCAGGGTTGTTCTTCACCAGCTCCTTGGCTTGTTCTATGGTCTCATCCAGCATCTGCAGAGAAGAGACGTTTTATTAGCCACTCACAGAGGCTTATGGACAGAGCCATGAACCTCACAGCCAGTGGGGCAGCTCCCTCTGCAGATCTGTCCCAGTCCTGGCTCTGGGGCAAGGTGAGGGGAGATATTGAGGCTCTCACCCCAGGCAGGCAGTCTGCTCTCTCTCATATACCCCCTCACCCAGCCATGCACATACCTACCTCTCCCACAATGCAGACAGTGGCCCCTTCGTCCTTCAGCCGCTCGATGGTGAAAGCTGGCGTGGACGTGGGCACAAGGATGGTGGCTGGGATGCCCAGTTTCCTGGCAGAGTAGGCAGCTGCCAGGCCAGCATTGCCACCTAAAAGCAACCACATTGGGCCTCATGGTTTCCTGCATCCCACCGTGCAGTAGAAGTCACGGTGCTGCCTCCGGTGCCTCCCAAAGCAGTGTGTCCCTCTGCCCTCTTCTCCTTCGGCCCTCCCCAAGCCTGGCGGCTGCCCAGGAGTTTCAGGAGGTGTGGGAATCTTGCAGCACCCCAACAGGAAGACAGTGTCAGGGTGTGGCGGGGAGGTGGGGAGGATTGTAACCTCCCAGGAACTCAACATTGCATTTCTCATGTGACCAAAGATGTCTAAAGCCCTGTTGCCACCCTCGCATGACCCACACCAATACCATCACTGGGGCTTCTCTTCTTTTGGCAATTGTCCCACCAATAGCAGCACCAGCCAGCAGGAGGCAGCCTGGATTTGGATTCCTGGGCATCCTTGTGGGCATTATTTACATCCAGGCCCAAGGAGAGGAGCTAGCACCCATGAGTTTCTGGGTCAGTATGGGCTTGGGTGTGACACAGCCACCCGCCCCCTCAGGGAGCCAGGCCCTGGGTTGGTGTATCTCACCTGAGGAGCATACGAAGCGCTCGCAGCCTCTCTCCGCCCACTGTGGAGACAAAGCAAGAGGAAGGAGTGAGTGGGAGTGAACGTGGCCTCCGCTGGTGACTGCACGAGAGCTGCTCCTCTCTCTGCAGTCTAACCCCTCCAACCCCTTGGATACTTCAGGTCATTCTCCTTTTATGCCTCTCGTCAGCCCCTACCGTAGAGTCTCTGCATCACCATCAAAGCCACCATGACCACGCAAGGCCAGGCAGCAGCCTCCCTTCTGCTCCCGCAGCCCCAAGAATGTGGAGTCTCAGCAATTTCCACCCTCCTCTTCCAGTCTGAGAGCAGATGGTTCGGTGGGCGCCCGCCCAGGATCAGGAGTCTGCTATGGGACTGCTGGCATCTGCTGCTCAATGGCAGCCAGTTGGAGAGATGTAGGGAGCATAGCTAGTGTCCACTCCAGGTGGGCACAGGAATCCAGGCCAGGTTATCCTTAGTCACCCCTAGTTCGAGGTCAAGCTTCATGGGCTAATGCTCCCTACAGTATATGGGATTGCTGCAGGGAATGCCCAAACTGGATTGCTGTGTCTGCTGCAAATGGATCCCAAATTCCCAGCTACCCGCCGTCTCTCCACCCCCACCCCCACCCCCCTGGCCAGCAATGGCACAATCCAGCTTGGCTCTGCAATCTTCTTTCCCCACCAATCGAACATTGTGCCCTTGGCAGTGCCGCTCAGAGTCTGTACCATTTTACAGAGGTGGCCGATGCCCCGGATTTTAAAGGAGCCCGTGGGCTGAGCATTGTCCAGCTTCAGGTAGACGTTGGTGCCAGCCACCTTGGAGAGCGGGACGCTGTCCCTCAGGGGCGTGTTCACATGCAAGCTCCTGGCAGAAGTCATGCTGGGCTCTGAGGGAATAAGGGAAATAAGACCCATCATCAGGACCCAGGATATTCTGTGGGTTTACCATGGAACCCACTTCTTGCTATGGATTTATGCTCCGGGGTCTCAGTTCCCATTTTATAGAGGTGTGAGCTGCCCATTCGTTTCAATGAACTGTTGACACTGAAGCCTAATAATGGCTCAAGTGTCAGGATGGTTAACTGTTTCACTGCTGATCATTTCAGCTAATTTATTAGGCCTCACCTCCAAATTACCTCTTCCCTAGGCATAAAAAGCCCCAACTCCCCCTACCCAGCTGTTCCAGCTTCTCCCTTCTCCCACGTGGACAATGCAAAAAAATCTGTGTCCCAATGAAAGTGTGGAACCAACATCAAATAACCAGGGGATCTTGTTGCAGAATCGACACCCAATTTGCCCTGGGGTACATGGGTCCCTGCCCAAAATGTCACCCTCCCAAGGCTCTCTCTGGCCACTTCTATCCAACCACCATGGCCTCAGGTCCATCCTCTCCCTCTTCTCAGCTCTTGGTGTAGATCTGGTCCCCTCTGTCCTCCCCAGCTGCAGGCCATGCTGGACTGTGTCTGCCGGATTTGTCCGAGTCCCATTCTCTCTGTAGATTTTCACATTAAAATCTTCCTTTGCCCCTTAGCTTATGGCTCCCTTTGGCTAAGCACTTTGTGTCCCTGTGTGTGACAGATGTCATTCAGGATGAACTGCACTGGGGGGAATGGGATATGGAGCCTTTCAGCTTGAGGGGCCAAATCCAGACCTGGCCTGAGTGCCACTCCCATGTGACCCCAGGTCAGTCAGTAGATTGTATCCCAAGCTCCATCGTCCATTTGTGTCTTTCTTCCACTCCTGTCCTGTCTTCCACGTGGCCTGCTAGGCGTGGGCAGTCTGCCATGTTCCTGCCCTCACTCACCCTTCAATAATCTTCTCAAAACACGGCGAGGTCTATAAACCCACCTTTTCCCCTCGATGACGGGGAGTAAATGACACCCGCAAAACAGACCATGGAGCTAGTAAGATGACTGTGTAACATCCCCACCACAGGCCATCAGCAGGATTGCAAATTGGGGCCTCCAGGGTCCTCCTTGCTGCTGCCACTTGAGTTACAGTAGCTTAACAGCAGTAGTGGGCTTTTATCCTCTATATGGACCAGCCACTAGAGGGGGACATAAGACACTTTGCTAGCGTGGTTAACCTGGCACACTCAATCACTGCCCCCCATCCCTTGTCTATCGGTATGTCTGGAAGGTAGGTTCTTTGGGGGTCAAAGACCTCCCTTCATTTTTGTCTATAATCTCCTTAGAATGCACTGAATTGATACATCAGTGGAGCTGGTCAAAAAATGCGAAGTTTTTTTTCTTCCATGAGAAACTTGAAATTGTTTTCATTTTGTGCTAATTTTTTCCACAGAATTTTAGGGATTTTTATACCTATATAAAAATGCTTTTTGGTTTTTTGCCCCCTTTTTTCCTCTCACTGCGTCCAAAAGAAACACACATGACTGTTTCTCAGTTTTCTTTGAAAAATTTCAGCCAAACAAAATTTTTTGATTTGGTCAAAAAGCCATTGTTTGTTGTGGGATTGGGGAGTGGGGGGTGGTTGTGATTTTGTTGTTGTTGTTGTTGTTACCCCAGCTCCATGAATCAGTAATTATTAGTAAAGAGTAGATCTGGCCAGCAGTATGGTTTTCTTGGTCCATGAAAACTTTTGCGATATCAAAAAATGTTCCCTTCCCAAATCAGGACAAAACGTCAAACTTGAAAATTCCCACAAATTAAAAATCTGAAACAAATTTTGGTTCTGGTCAATTTACATGTTTTGTTCCAATTTTGATCATTTTTTTTTTACTTATAATTAGCTTAAAAGTTGAAACAAAGTTATTTTGAGTTGGCAAACTGGACTTTTTTTTATTCAGAACATGGCGAAATGAAACATTTTGGCAATTTTGAAACTTTGTTAAAAAAAAAATTTCAGTCGAAACATTTCTCAAGACTGACCTTGTCCTAGGAAAAGTTTCGTTTTTGACAAATCAGCATTTTCGGATGGAAAGATGTTTTGGTGAAAAATTCCCAACCAGCTGTGGAGATCAGGGCCTCCTGTGTAGCATTCCCACCTAGCTCTGTGTGGAGTGACTTAGGGGTTTCTATCCCGTTCCGTCACCGCAGTCCACCCCCTTAGGTGGGCCCAGTTAGCATCTAGGCAGAGGACTGACCATACCATGGTTCTGAACTCCTATCTCGTCCCAGAAGTGGAGACAGAGGCACAGTGTTGGGGCATGTGTGTGTGAAACTAACCCTGCTACTGCCCGCGCTGCATCTGTCTTCAGACATGAGTCCAACCAGGGGATTTCATTCTGGAGACATGCACAAGGCAAAGATCCTGCTGCTAACTCAGGGACAGCCTATTTGCAGGGGGGACACGGTCTCGGAGCTGAAAGAGATCCCCCCGCTGCAATGCTGCTGTAAACCCTTCTCTTAGCTCTGGGCCTTACCTCGGTGCCATCCCATTTACAGCTGATCCCCCTGGAGGATCATTTGCCAGGGGAAATACACAAACAGACCATCCCTGTGAAGGCAAGTCGCTTGGCACCTGGGGCTGGGTCAGAGGGTGGGGAGGGAGGAGAGGAGAAGGCTACACCATTGCCCCACAGCATCTGCTCTGGCCATCCGGCTGCCTGTGGCTCCAAAGTGAGTCCTTCTTGGTTAGACAGGCACTGGCAGAAGTGCAGGGACTTGGGAGTTAAAAGCTGGAAAAGGAAGGGAGGAATGGGGGAGAGGTCCCCAGAGATCCAGCAGGGAGAAGAGGCATGGGGCAGCCTGTGTGTGAGGGAGAGACAGCGAAGCAACCTCCTTTGGAATCCTGCTCATTACCGTTAAAAGTGTGCAGAGCCCCGTGGCGCTGCCTGACTCCGCATAGGTTTGAGCAGCTGCCTAGCCCGTCACAGGAACCCGATCAGTCATTACTGGACTTGCACTGGACAAAGCAGTTGAGGGACAGTTTTGTGAAGAAGTGGCCACTTATTCTGGCCTAAAAGAAATCTCAGGTCAGGCACCAAAGAAACCGAGACAATCAAAAAATCAGGGGCTAGTTTTGAAAATGACTGTCCTTCGTCTTCAAAGATCTTCAGCTGCTACGGTGATGAAAGCAGAATAGGTAAGTAGGAGCACTTCTGAAACCTTCCCTAATTCAGCTCACCAAACCTCTCTTCTGAAGCTTGAATCCAGCCACCCAACAGCCCTCTGAGCCAGGGAAATGCTGTTATCATCAATGCGTAGATGGGGAAACTGAGGCACGGAATGATGCAGTCACTTGCCCACGACCCTAGAAGGAGTCAGTGTCAGAGCTGGGATTAGAACACAAGTGCTTCCAGCCCTGTGCGCTGACCACACCTTCCTATGTATGTATTAGTAACAGATGATAATCTCACTGTGTGCTGGGAAAGGAAGAAAGTGAAGGCACTTACCGGTTAGCGTTAGAGCAGAGCGGCAGGGCCTTTAGCTAATGTGTGCCCTGATGGCTTAGAGGCTGCAGCTGTTCAGTGCAGGAGTGAGCAAGGCTGCGGGTCTCCTGTGGTCCCTTCTCGGCAGCTAGGGTAATCTGTGGAGCCACGGTCTCATTGGAGGATGCTAGTCCCTTGGCAAGTTTTATAGGCCCATGGTTTGTGCTTGGTGGCCAATTGGGGAATGGGGCACCCCCCCACACCCCCTTGCCTCTGATGTCATTCCCCTCCCCTGCTCAGCAGAGAGATTCCAGCTAAAGGGAAACCAGCAGCAACCATACCAAAAGGGAAGAGGTCAGGGAGGGGGAATTCTTCAGGCTCTTTGCAAAAGGAAAAGAGCCTATTTCAGGCACTCCCCTGCCAAAAGGAGGGTGACGCACGCTGGGGAGGGACATTGCTCAGACAAAGGTTCCTTGCATCAGATGTTTCTGAGCCGGCTCAAACCAGGCTGAAGAGCCAGGTCTGGAATTATGATTAGGGGGAAAGGCAGGGGGGCCCTTTTGCTTTCACAAGGCCGGCCAGTCCCCTTGCTGGCTCAGAGAAATGCACGCAAGGGACTGGAACAGACGAAGGGAGTTCATAACCCGGAGCTCACTGCTTCTCCAAACCTGGCTTATTTGTATTCTCTCTCCTACCCCCATCTTTCTCTCACTCCCGCTTCGCCTCCAGACTTTGGAACGTTTGCATCTCTATAGTTAGTTACTTTTTAAGAGGCAGTGTCATGAAATGATTAAATGGGGCAGAACTTCAGGGTTCTATTTGCTCTTGATTTTGTGTGATCACAAGTCAGTTAGCTTTGCTGGGCCTCCTGCCTCCATCTACCGGCACCTCCCAACTATTTCAAATGAGAAATAACAATACTAATCTCCGTTCATTCCCAGCCTGTAGAAGCAAAGGCTGGATTGGTTTGGTATTCTCTTTGGGGAGGGAGGTGAGCTAGAGAGTGCGGGGGTGTTGAGTAGGGAAAGCTAAGTCAGAGAGAGTTTTTTGAATTTAGTTCTGAAAATGGTGAGCCTGGGAACTCTTGTGGCAGGGAGTTCCAAAGTCTACGTTCCAGTTGGTCTGAAAGTTCTGTCTCCTGCCCTCTGAGCCTCCCCATATACATTCATAGTTATGTAGTTCTGGGGGGGAGCTTAGCTGTTCTGTGTGGTTGTGATGGTGGCGTCCTCCGGTAGCCTGGGCCAGTCACAGGGAGGGTGCTGAGTGTGAGGACAGAAGCCTTGCCCTGGACTTGCTATTCAGTGAGGACATGGTACGGAGAGCAGATACCGGGGTGGGTAGGGGGGGTGGAGGCACATGATGACCTAGCGAGGGGCTGCTGCATTTTGTCCCAGTTGGTGCTTTTTCAGGGAGTGTTGTAGACATAGAGGGCCGGAGTCTCATCTCACTTACCCCACTCTGAGGCCAGTGTAACACCACTGACTTCCATGAAGATTCATTCCTGATTGACACTGGTGTAGGGATGAGACTCTGGTCCAGTGAGTTGCACTACACATGCCTACATGTCACCAGTGTATGGCTCGCCGTGGGCAGGTCTCTGGCCAATGGGTTGGGATGCAGTCCATGGGTCAGTGGCAGCTGGAAGTGGGTGTTTCGGGCGCTCTTTGAGCAGCTAACAGCAGTGGCAAGTCCAAACAGATCGTAAGGCTGCAGAAGGATTTGGCAGTGTGAGGTCAGGTGCCCTCGATCGTGGAGAATGTTGCAGGCTATTATTATTTGCATTACCACGGACCAGGACCTCACTGTGCCAGGCGCTGTACAGGCACAGAACAGAAAAGTGATCCCTGCTCCGAGGAGGCGGCAAGTTCTTCAAAGCACTTCTCTCTTCCGACCAACCTCCCGTCGGCCTCACCTGCACTCGGCCTTAGCCAGCTGCTCTTTATCCAGGGGCTGAATTTGGCTGAGCGAGTGGGGAGATGGGGCCGTCGATAGCCAGGAGTGTGGCATACTGCCTCCTGCTGGCACTGCTGCCCTGAGCATCTCCCCAGCTCCTCCCACGGCCTCCTGCAGGTGGCGACTGGCAATGGGGGTGGGATTGGAGCCCTACAGCTGAGGGCTGTGCAGATGGAGCCGTTGATGGGCCCTTCCGCTCACCGTTATGGCTTTTTTGGGGTCAGGAATATCCAGTGGTTGGCAGAATCAAATGCAAACATTATTCAACTGGATCAACCTTCTTCACCCTGAATTCTGTACACCTTAACGTGTCCCATTGTGTCATTGCCCGGGCTTGAGCAGTAACAACCCCCCAGGGGAACTGCCCCCTCACACAGCCCGAACCCCCTTGGACATAGTGAAATGCCGGGAATAGAACGAGAGCCCCCCATTGCTCCTGGGCTCGGGGATCCGGGCCGCAGCTCCACTTCAGAGTTGCGTTAGGCCTCTGCTGATTGGGGCCCTGAACTGCATTACAGAAGGCCTCCGCTGTATCCCGCGGTGAGCAGGAGAACGGGGTCCGCCAACCGAGCTGCTCCCCCAGCTCGTGCCTGTTGGTTATCCCCATGCCGGTGCCCTGTCGGCTGACGCTGCTTTGCTCCGGGTTTGCTGGGCTCGAGCTGTTGTGGAGTTTGTGGTTCTCAAAGATCGCTCAGGTGCTTTGCTTTCCCCCCCCCAAAGCCGCTGCGAATCAACCTGCAGCAGAAGAGCTGTATTATCCCCAAGGGGAGGGGAATACACAGCTTGAGCCAACAGACAAGAGGGGTGAGGTGACTTGCCCAGGGGCACCTGATATCTGTGGCAGACAGAGGCAAAGAATCTGGACGTCCCGATGCCCAGCTCTGTGCTTTAACCACAAGACAATGCTTCCTTCCCTACTGCGCTCCTGCACCCCCACCTACAGTAGCTCTGCCAATCTCCCTCAGCCCACACGCCCCCCCGCTGCTCTCCCTGTCCTGGGTCCCCCAATGCTGATCCACCTCACGCCCAGACTCTGCCACAACTCCTGTGGCTTCAGTCCTAGAACCCCCAGAGCAGGATGAGAGTGCAGGTCTCCAGGACTGAGACACTCATGCCCTGGGACCCCCAAGTCTTTAATACCCCGGCCCCAATTCTCAGGGCATGAATGGACAGAGAGCAGGGCACCTGGAGAGACTGTTCCAGTGAACAGGCCTTACTTGTGCTGTAGCTTTAAACTATCGGGGAAGGCAGGGGATCCCCGAGCGGCTGCAATGCAAGAGTAGAGTGAAACGTCGCCCGTTCCATCAGACACAGGGCACCTGCCACCGGCGGCTGCCCAGGGTGAGTGTCTGGCTCTGCTACCAGGGGCAGCTGGCACCCTCAAGCCAGATCCTTCCTGCTGATCTGTTCAGCCGGGAGAAGGCGATTACTGGGGTCTGCAGGGGCTGGAATGTGAGGAGGGGACTGAGGAGTTAGGAGGCAAAGGAAAGAAAAGGCGGTGGGGACGTTGGACGGACAAATGGGGATGTTTCATTTCTAATTCGGCCCTCAACCCCAAGGAGGAGCACACACCCTTCTCCCCCCGCCAACCCCAGGCCGGCTCAGACAGGCTGCCCTGGGGAAGTCCGGGGTTCTCACCCAGCTGATGGAGTGTCAGAATTCTGCTCATGCGCCATGGGGCAGAGTGTGAGCTGCATAGTGCTGACTGGGGGCCCCCCTAAGGACTCGGGTGTCTCCCCCTTTATTGCAGTTCTCCCCAGCTTTCTGTTTAACAGTCAGCCTCCATCTCCTCTCTTCCCCTGCTTCCACACCCAACTTTTCCTCTGCTCTCTCCTCTCCCTGCAGGACTGACCCCCACCCCAGCTAGCATAGCAGAGCTGTTGAGTGCCAGGTGCTGCCCTCTGACCATTGTGCCTCACAGCTGGAGGGGGGTGGAGGGGAAGCAGGGGCTGCTGGAGTTGCTTGTGCCAGCCTCGCTCTCCCTTGGCAACTGGGCTAAGAGAAGAAAAGCTCGGCAGGAAACCTGCCCTGAGCCAGGGGCTGAGAGCGTGGAGCCCCCTCCTTCTGCCGGGAGATGCCGGCCCAGGCCAGCGAAGAAGGAGACAAGCGATGTCATTTCCTAAGGGACCCTGCACTAAATGGCTTAGATAAATATTTGCCCCTGGCCCTGGGCTGGTCCAAAGGTTTTCCCTCGGACTTCAGCAGGAGCAGGTTGGGAGTCAGTTCTCTGAGCTGTCACACACTTTTGACCTCTTAGTCCCTAGGGATCTGTCCAAGCTCTGTGGGCGGGGAGGGGAAGTTAAGGTAGTCTGTGCCTCACGGAGAAATAAACCAGACAGTGGGAAGCAGCTGTGAACTTTAATGGTGATGTTTAGTGTATGATCAGGGAAACTACGCATTTTTTAATGCGGGCAAAACAACATATTTGACCCTAGCTTCACTGGCAGAAATGACTGATCTGTTTTAGCTGAAACTTAAAAAAATCAGCTTGTGGCAAACACCTGGTGTGGAAAATGTCATTAAAGTTTGGCGAGTTGTAAGCAACTGAAAACAGGGGCTTACAATGGAACGTGTTGGGCAACCTTAACTATAGGTGGTGTTGTGCTGCCTATGATGATAATGCGCAAGCGTTGACGAAGGACGTTAATGATTGTGGGGGTGATAGGCGCTTACTTTTATTTTTCCTTGGGGGTGCTCCGCCCTTGCTCCGCCCCCTCCCCAAGGCCCTGCCCTCGCTCCGCCCCCCAAGGCCCTGCCCTCATTCCACCTCTTCCTGCCACCGCTCAGCCCCCTCCCTGAGACCCCCGCCTGTCCCCCGCTCGCTGCTCTCCACCCTTCCCAAGCTTCTCCCCCAGCCACTGAACACTTGGGGCTGGTGGATGCCGTTATTTTCTTCCATGGGTGCTTCAGCCCCAGAGCACCCACGGAGTCGGCACCTATGGTGGGTGGTATTCCTGCCTGAGAGGTGGAGGAGCATGGCTGATTGTAGTGCTATCCCCAGTGACAAATGTAAAAGCAAAACAAAGCCCCAATAAGGGTATCTCAGAGGCAACAGAAAGTCATTGCTGGCCTGAGCAGAGAGACAGTGTGAATAAGATGGAATGGCCCATCTACATCAGAGTAGTCTGGGTTTCTTGGATTTCTCTTTCTTGCCGTAATGTGGCTTGGTATCCGGGTATCGGCTCTTGGGTTCTCCCGGAGAGGGGGGCGGGGGCGGCTCGTGCCCAGGGCGGTAATGCTGCAGGGGAGCAGTAACTCTTTGTTGTCCATGATGGTGGAAGTTAAAACTCCGATGGATCTCTTCAGAAAGACAAGGGCATAACCCCTGTCATCTGGCCTGATCCAGTGAACAGGGGTCAGGCCTCACGCTGCACAGCATGGTGGCAGTGTTTGAGTGCACAGGCATGGTCCCACCTCTGTCTACCTCATGGCTTTGAGA